TGATAAGTGACAGACGTGATGTCATTTATGGATGACCCCCCGAGACCTAGAGTTATCTAATGATAACGGGTAGTATAGTTGTTTTTTTAAAAAAGCGTGACGTCATTTATGGATGACCCTTTTAACAATGTCGAGCTCGCCTTGCACAATACAGCTTTAGTTCAAAGATAATGAGCGGTCTTTACTGGCGGAAATGTTCCGGCATCCGAAAAACGCGCGGAATGCAATTCTTCCAGTCTTTAGGTCTATCTACATGGTGAATCACGCAAAAATTGTTTAGCCGACTAGAAAACATGGCCACAATAACATCTCACAGCCATGATAATCTCGCGAGGTTTCGTGTGACAACAGCTTACAAGGCCCCGGAACATGTATGATTATCAGTTGAATAAAAAGCCTCCGTCCCCGTGGATAAAACCCTCCCCGTCACAACAAGTAGAAGATATCGAATTCCGACGTTGGCGCCATTACCCACCCCACGACGGTGAAACAAACGAACATTTTCACAGGCAAATGACTGCACCGTTCTTGTTTGGGATGCGCGGCGACGATATGAAAAAAAAAACTAGCCATCCCATGATTTCTTATCAAGAAACATCCAGTCGTTGGCTAAGCCTGTTGGCTTTTGCCCGCGCGAAACACGATCGCTTCCCTCGCCAGCGAGTGGATTAACCGTGAAATACGCCCAGTTTGAGAATACCTCATTTTAACCGTCCCAGGCTCTATCTCCTTTTATGAGAATTTAAACTGATTTTTTTTGAAAAGTAAAATAAAATGTTGGTTGTTGTAAGACATCTTTACGATCGCTATCAGTATGATGGACGCCGGTTGACATGTCAAACAAAGGGGCAGGTAATGCAGTCCGGCCTGTGGTTCGGTCCTGCAGATGCGTATCAGTGTGAAGCAATAGGTTTTTTTTTCTTCTATGTCTGGACAAGACGCTATTATGTCAGAGTGGAAGCACATCTAAATGAGACAAGGGGTGGAGGAGGTATAGGGAGGGGGGTGAAAGGGTATGATTAAGGGAAACAAAATATGTAGCCGGAGTGGCTTTGGGACAGTATAGAGAACATATTTTTAGCGTGGAGCGAACGTCGTAGAGGAGACAGCTCAAGCCCACAAGGATCAAGGCACGTATGTTGTCTGATAGCACCGCTTTTTTTTTTTTTTTAATTTCGGAAGCGTCGCCGGTGGGGGTGTAAAGGTAGCAGGCGCTCCCTCAGAAACATTTTGAAATCAATTTAAAACAATTTTAATAAATTGGTTTTTGTTTTTGTACAGTGTAAAAATATATGGTGTGTCGAGAGAATGGTGTTTTGATATTATCATAATATCAACATCGGGGTAGGCAGTCTTACATATATTAATTTTAATGGAAATATAAAGGATGTATTTTAATCGCGGAAAAAAAATCTACATAGAGATTTTGGCAAATTTTGACCTTTTACAGACTTCTGGTGCCGGAAAAAAACAACTTTGTTTTGCAATCCGGTCCACCTGTGTGTCTGTCTGTCTGACTGTCTATGTACACCTTTCACCTTTTGGGCGATTTCCATTTACCGGAAGTGGTCCGTACTCTCCTTCTGTTCTCTTAAAAACCGATAACTTAATTACCATTTAAGTAAGGTAGTTGAAATTTCACATGCAAATACTACATTGTTTCTTTCAACTTATGATCGAGTTCCGGTTATCGAAAGTGGTACTTTATTTTAGTTTGCACATGATAACTAGAGAACTGTTTCAGTTACGCTGACGAAATTTCAGATAAAAGTAAAGATCTTATACTAAGTCAACTTTCACTTTTTGAGTGACTTGCGATATTCGAAAATGGTATTTTACTGTATTTCTGTTTCTAAAAAATACCAAATAACTCGAGTACTGTTTCAGTTAGCTAGACGAAATTTCATGCATAGGTATATGATCTTATTCAGTGTTTTCCATCAAATTTGATTGACTGATAAAAAACAACAACATTTTCCTCGAAGTGCCAACCACCTTCTATATTCTATAAGAATACATGAGAAAGTTTAAGGGAGATCACTCCCGCTTTATGTTTGACCAGATCCATAGTTTACAAAATCGCTTTTTATAAGGAAAATGTTTGCGTCCCGTAGCTTTAAGCAATCGCTCGGTCAAATCGATATGGTCCGGTCATATCGATATGGTCTGGTCATGTCGATATGGTCTGGTCATATCGATATGGTCTGGTCATATCGATATGGTCTGGTCATGTCGATATGGTCCGGTCATATCGATATGGTCTGGTCATATCGATATGGTCTGGTCATGTCGATATGGTCTGGTCATATCGATATGGTCTGGTCATGTCGATATGGTCTGGTCATATCGATATGGTCCGGTCATATCGAGGGCGTGGTCCAATGGTAGAGCGTTTGATTGCTAGCCCAAAGGTCTCGCGTTCGGTTCTTGGTTCGAACTTGTGACTGGAGTACGTCCATGAGTCCACACAGTGCTGATGAATACCTGACACTTTGAGGAAAATATAGACGGCCCTGCGTAGTGCTGACCACAACATAACTTCATATGCCGAGGGCAAGAAGCATATGAACTCTACTTCATCTGCCCAATCGATCTCTAGGTCCAAACTTTAAAGAGGGATCTTTTGTTTCTGTGTTATTTTAAAAATCACTTTTAAACTTAAAATGTTTTAGTCTGACTAGGACCGCAGGTCAAAACTTCACTTCCTTTACGTATTTGCTAATTTATTTGTTTAAAGAAACTTTCTAAAATATTATTTTTTTAAACTTAAAAATATAAAAAAATAATAATGCTACTAAACAAAATGGAGATAAATTAAAAAAAAAAAATGACAAACAGCATAATAAAACAACTCTATAGAGATAAAGCAAATTGAATTCTTTATTTAATGTCAAATTTTCAGACAATAAGCGCACTCACGGAACTCAGGAAACTAAATTAACATAACTATGTTCAGCTCGTATGGATTGGTTGAGGTGGGGTTGTAATGGTTGGTTAACACAATTTCTTTTATGCTCATGCATTAAATCATTTTGTGGGGTATTTCTTATTGTTCAATATTGTACTTTTTTTTAATTAAAAAAAAAATGTAATTAATAACTTTTATTGAAAAAAAAAACAACTATTGCAACATCAGGGGAAGCCATTCATCCTGAGCTGGGTGTTAGTTCAGTGTAGTGCCCTTGGGATTGCTATTCAACTGTAAACGATGAAGTTACATATTATTATAGACCGTTGCGTGGTTGAACATATTGGTGAATGAACTCATGTTTTAAAAAAATGGTGACAAGATGCCTGATGTGGTATTTATTTTGTATTTTTGAGAACAGAAATGTTTATTTTTAAAATTAGATAGGTAACCATTTCGACCTCATTTTATGACGTGTACTCATTTGAGGGAGTGGGGACGGGAGGCCACATTTGAGTGTTGTGATTTATAGGCGATTCCATATGAATCATGTTTAACTACTATAGCTCTTGGAGGCGATGAATTGGTATTAATATTGTTTCCCGCACGGTTTCTTTCAGACATTTTTCAATATCGCCACCCCCCCCCCCCACCCCTTGGCAGACATGCCTATAAAAAAAAAACGTCCATTGATATTTGCTCTTTTCTGTTACATCCATGGACTTGGATCTGATAAAAACAAGGGGAGTCTACCCTGACAAACGAGTCTGATGATTGATTGTCTCGCATGTTAAGATTGTCGAAGCATTTATGATACGAGTGGTAGGGTACTTGTCATACCAGTGTCCGATAATACCACAAGAGTGGAATCTTCTAGAAAGAAAGCGATAGGTTACTAGTGGTGAATTTAAAAAAAAAACGTATACAGCGTGTTATTATCCATGCTAAACTTTAACTACCACAAACCTTAACCCAAACACTATCAATACTATCATAACCCTAATTTCTAACCCTAACACGTCAAATGAAATTACAAAAATTACCAGCAACCTAAAAAGTAGTTTCAGTCTAGTATCTGACACTGGTAGCATCAGTACTCAAAGGGTGATATATTAATTTGTGACAAATTAATTATGACAGAAATATTTCTAATTACATGACGAACGAATCGCCAGTTATTATACAAAGTAGTTGAGCTTTAGTCGACATGGCATTGTTCAAAATAGAGTAGATCTATTATACGAACATTATATATATATATATATATATATATATATATATATATATATATATATATATATATATATATATATATATATATAAACAATCACACGATATATTTTTTTACAATGTCTTACATGAAACAAATTCTCTTAGAACTCCAATCACATAGAAGCTAACATTCGTTCATGTACATGATCAACCAATCAAACGACACTTTACATTATCTCACAGTATCAACCAGCACCACAAGAAATAACATTCATTTACAGAAAGACAATAACTGGCTCACAAAATCATCCAATCATCTACAAGATAACATTGTTTTAAATTTAGAGCCAAAAATTAAAATAACTGCAAATTAAATTGGAATGAAAATGATTTGAAAGCCATTTTAGGTTATATATACACAGGGAAGGGTCTACCATTTGTGAATTAATAGCATGATATGGCGTATAAATAATCAATAAAGATGTACACATTAAAAAAAAACAATTTTAAAAGGTTGACAATTTTTCAATTGCTGATTATATTGATCACCTACAACGTTTAATCACTCATTAACTAAACCAAACAAGTTGGGTGCCCGCTGCGCGTGAGGTCACTGGACATCAGCTGAACACCGCCCTTAGCATCGTGAGCCTTCGGGGCGCACATACATAGAAGTAATTTTCCAGTTATAACCCCCCCCCCCCCCATCATATTCCACCTTTTGCATTAACCCATCTGCACTCATAACCAGCCATACCCCCTCTCCCTCCGGGCATAAAATCAACACCCTGCCATACCCCCCTCCCTCAAGTCATAACTCACCTCCCTTCATTCCTCCCCCCCCCCCCCCCGTCATTACCCACTACATAACCAGCCACGTTGGATCACTCCACACCACATCAAATAATTATATTGGAGAAAATTACCACCACCCCCTCATAACCATAGCAACGTCAACATATCTCTCTCTCCCACAGCCAAACCCAACACCACCAAACGTTCATCTCCAAAGAACTTAAGTCAGCATCGCTGCTTCAAAATACATTGCTACCTCCTAAGTTGAAGATCTCTTTCAGTAGAGTCAAGGTTATAGACCTATAGTTGCCTTCTTTGGCTGAAGTCTTTCATGGCGGCGTCATTGAGAAACAGCTTATCGAAGGAGTTAGCTCAGCTTCTAAGAATTGCACGAATAGTCTTTTCGGCGATTCGGGAATGTGGCGAAAGTATACCATCGTCATTCTCTAAGCATTCCAGTTTAAAGATTTCTTTGTCGGTTTATAGAGAAATATATTTGTTTTTATTGTAGTAAAGATCAACCATCCAAAATGTGGGAAATTGACCAGATTTTAGGTTTAGGTTTCTCGATTGGCTTCTGTTCAGAGCTGGTAGGTTTCTCTGTAGGTTGCGTGACGTCATGCAGACGTGCTGCAGTGGGAGACGTGGTGACTGGTGTGGGGGACGTTATGATTGGTGTGTGGGACGTCATGACTGGTGTGTGGGACGTCATAACTGGCGAGGAGGAAGTCATTACTGGCGTGGGCTGAGGGTCCTGGGTTCGAAACGCGGCGTTCTCCTCGTCAGAGATGTCGGAGAAAGAGTCGTGGTCTGGCTCGCCCTCGCTCGACAGCTTGCCTGAAAGAAAAGTGAGGAGATGTGTTTAAAACAAGGACAGAAGGTACTCACTCAAAGTTCAACACAGTAAAACTATACATGTGCACTAACAGACGGCGTGGTCGAATGGTAGAGCGTTTGACTGCTAAGCCAAAAGTCTCGAGTTCAGATTTCGGGCTCGAGTCTGTGAGACGTGTTCGAGTGGCTAACTTGTGGTGTTGTGGTTAAGTTATGGTGTTGCTGGCGTGGTTAACTTGCGGTGGTGTGTTTAATTTGTGGTGGTGTGGTTAACTTGAGGTGGTGTGGTTAACTTGTGGTCTTCTTGCGGTGGTGTGGTTAACTGTGGTGTGGTTAACTTGTGGTGGTGTGGTTAACTTGTGGTGGTGTGGTTAACTTGTGGTCTTCTTGCGGTGTTGTGGTTAAAGTGTTGTTATGTTAACTAGTGGTATTGTAGTTTAGTTGTGGTGGTGTGGTTACCTAGTGTTGGTGTGGTTAACTCATGGTGTTGTGGTTAACGTGTGGTGTTGTGGTTTACTTATGGTTGAGTTGTTAACTTGTGGTGGTGTGGGTACCTTCTGAATGTTGTTAAGCTAGTGATATCTACGTTTGCTAATTAACGCTATTTCTAGTGAGGTTATCTCTACACTACCCCTTTGACATCAATACGCCCCCCTTTCCCCATAACATTCAAGTCTAGACAACGCTACACTAAGCTAGAATCCTATAGCCATATGTCCCTTGTAATTAGATTCCTCTTTTTGTCTTCTCTTCCTTTACACTGTCAAATGTCATAATGTCAACGGTCTATGATATCACACCGTCATGAAACTGAACTTCCCTTATTTCTTGAAAACATAAAATTTTCATTAAAAATTATTGTTTTTTGTTGTTGTTGTTAAAACAGTCCATAAATGTATATACACCGATGTCTCATATAAACGTATGTATATTTTTACACTTAAATATCACACATTATTGTGCCACCGCTGAACCTAGCACCCATGTAGTGATGCAGCCCCCGAGCCTCCCCCTGTGTAAACTTTTACATCCACCTCCGTAAACAATACAGGCCGTATACTTTTTATTAACACCCCCACGCATGTATTAAATTTGCTCATAAAAAATCTAGATAAATAAAATATCATCTGAGATGGAGGTAAGGGGGGGGGGGGGTCGTGTGACATCAACCATCCAATGACCTCTAGTGAGACAAGTCCCCCTCAAAACGAGACCGTATTCCAGCCGTCATATTAGAAGCCTTAAAGAGCCGAGCGATAAGCCGGCTCGGCGGCACCGGGATTTGTCCCCGGGACGGGCCCCGGAAATCTGATCCACTGCCGGTAATCTAACCCACCCCCGGACAAAGCTGCAACCCTGGGTCATACATCACCCGTGGTAGGATTTCTTTAAAGGTGGGAGGGGGGGGGGGGTAATGGTGACTGGTGAGGTGGGCAGTTTTGACTAGTTAGGGGGAGGGGGTGTGGTAATATTGACTGGTGAAGTGAAAGGAGGGGGGGGGGGGGTAATGTTGACTTGTGAGATGGACAATTTTGAATGGTGATGTGAAGGGGGTGGACATAGGTCACTGGTGAGGTGAAAAGGAGGGGGGCAATATGTCTGAGGAAGTTAGGGGGGGGGGTGAGGCAATGGTGACTGGTCACGCCTTGCTAATATTACATCCGCTGGCTAATTAAGTCAGTGTTTGTGAGGATAAGTCAGGATTTGTAAGGGTTCTTGGTTAGCTCTTTACAATGATGAAAATAAGTCAGGATGTTAATGTCAGTGGTGAAAGTCACAAAATTAACATTGGTCAATGTTCGGGACAGAATTCAAGATTTAAAAGTCAGGGATAAATTTTCAGGATATCTTTGTTGTGAAAATCAGAATTGCGCATGTAAAAAAATCAGGCTGTATACATTCTTCATCCTTTATTCTGTATTTTATGCATAGACCCAAAATGTTTGCTTAACATTGTCTGGACCCCCCACTCCCCATTAACCAGAATTCACCCCCCCTTCTCCCCCCCCCCCCCCCCCCCACCCCTACTATCCCCGCCCCCACGGCTCTGCTTCTAACACCCGATCACAAAAGATGACCGTACCTTCGGCCCTGAGCGAAGATTTGGTGCTCCTGTGGTCAGACTGACCAACAGACACGCTGTCCGAGTCGCGGTCACTGTCCATCCCGCTGTCGTCCTCTTCAGCCGAGGTCAGCAGACGACTGTCCTTTTTGAGTCTCCGCCTCGCGTTGGCGAACCACGTGGAGACCTGCAGAAAAAAATCAGACGGGTTTTAAAAAACAAAATTCAAGGGGAGCCACTGTGAAAATGAAAAATTGAAATACTAATGTTGCCTCTCTTTATACGCAGTTTCTTTCCAGGCACTGATGCATGCTAAAAATCTTTATTTCTTCCAGGCATCTCTTCAGGGGTGGGGGTTGTAAAGCCCCCACCCCTGAACGAAACAGAGTTACATAGAAAAAAAATATGTTTTTACCAATTCCCCCCCCCCCCCCCCAAAACTGCAAATAGGCCTACCCCTCCACCACGGAGAAAAAAGTCTGGAAGAAACTGTACAAAATGACTGGTAAGGGAAACTTATTGGGGTATCCTACACAATATTTCTCTCTGACACTTTTTTTTTACTTGGGGGGGGGGGGGGTGGTATTAGGGGGGCGCGGACACTGGTAAAAGTATATATTTTCTATCTAAATTATATTTCTCTTATTAATTAATTAACCAAATGAACAATGTCTGACCTGGGTCAAGGTCATCTTTGTGATGATGGCCAACATAATCTTCTCGGCCTTGGTGGGGTAAGGATTTTTCTTGTGCTCGTTGAGCCAGGCCTTGAGTGGCCCAGTCGTCTCTCTGGTGGCCGCCTTCCTCATTGGGCCATTCACGTCCAGGCCAGGGTACCTGTTGGGGAGGTCAACCGTTGGAGGTGAGTTTTGTCAGGTTAACCGTTTCTTAGTTTTGTCAGGTTAACCGTTTCTTAGTTTTGTCAGGTTAACCGTTTCTTAGTTTTGTCAGGTTAACCGTTTCTTAGTTTTGTCAGGTTAACCGTTTCTTAGTTTTGTCAGGTTAACCGTTTCTTAGTTTTGTCAGGTTAACCGTTTCTTAGTTTTGTCAGGTTAACCGTTTCTTAGTTTTGTCAGGTTAACCGTTTCTTAGTTTTGTCAGGTTAACCGTTTCTTAGTTTTGTCAGGTTAACCGTTTCTTAGTTTTGTCAGGTTTAATCGGTTCTTAGTTTTGTCAGGTTTAATCGGTTCTTAATTTGATCAAATGTAACCGTAACAAAGCTGTATCAAGCTTAGCCAATGCTGACGCGTATTAAGTTTAACTATGAGTGAAATCATGTTTTAACGTTTCTTAGTTTTATCAAGTTTAACCATGGGTTAATAATTATTTTACCAGGTTCCAATATGATCCAGCCAATCGATCAACAACCGGCGGCTCTAGGGCCAAGCATGACTCTTTGTGTGAGTAAATGAGGCTCAGATAACCAAGTATAACACTTTGTTACTAAGCTAAGAATTTAACAAAGGAAACATACTATGACGTTTGTATAAATATAACGTATTGGATTCTGAAATGTAACTTAATCTTTGATTCTTTTCATATGCAATATTTTAAAAGAACAAAAACTTAATATAATAGTTCTTCATCCAAAGCAATCAACGATCAATCTATAGTAAATCACAGGGCCTACAGCGAATTATACAGAAACTACCTACTAGTTTACTGATCAAAACTAGAGATTTCTTCTGTATTAAAAAAAAAAAAAATTTCTTCATATGTAATTCTTTATTAACTCCACCTTTACAGCAGTAGTTGTTTTCATACTTGGCAAATAAATATTTTCAATGACAATCTATCTTCTATATATATATATATATATATATATATATATATATATATATATATATATATATATATATATATATATATATATATATATATATATATATATATATAATTCTCTTCTTGGATACCCTAGAAAACACCAAGTTGTAAGCGCGCCTAGCAGTCCTCTCTCTTCCTCTCTAAGCATATCCCTACCACTCCCACCCCACATGGTCTGGTGAGCTGTGGTTCACGCTAAATGTTTACAATCGTAGAGCCTGGTTTAGTGACGGCTATTAGGGGCAGATAATTTAGTTTGAAACTATTTTAAATTAGGGGAGGTAATAACATACTGATAGTGTTTTAAAGCAAATATTTTCAGTGGCAGCATTGGTACTGTCGAATGTACAAATTATGAATTACTGAAGAGTAGAAAATAAAACAACTAAATAGCGGCGTATCATACGCCGCGGGTCGGCGCGTTCATCTTAATTTTAAACTAAAAAACAATATAAAGGTCAGTAAATATTAAAGGTTATTATATTCATTTGAAAAATGGGAGATAACCAAGTATTTTTTAAAGTTAATATTTTTCTTTAAAAAATTCCACCTAATATAACACGCCAGCTAATGTAACAACCCACCAACATAAAAAAAACAACATCCTATTTCACGCGGCTGCCAAAGATCAAAGGTCACCCGCTTTGGCGACGAGGATGTGTTAGCAGTTTACAACCACCCTGAGACTGGTAGGCGCGACGCGGGCTTTATTTCAGTGGATAAAATGTTCAGCTAACACCGGTGTCACCGCATGACGCCACCTAGCGGTCACCGCCCGGAAGAGTCGCATTGCTGGCGACATATTTGGGGAATAGTTGAGAGCAGTTCATGGATATTCAAGAGTCGAATAACTTTATGGAATGTGTTCTGTATTTTAATTATAATTCGTGTTAAAGGAGGTCTTTAACCGAAACATATTTTTTTTTCGGTTTCGCGAATTAAAACGGAGTTGGGTATGCGGTTGACAACACAATTAAGTTTTTTTCAGATATTTATCTCCAGAGGGGCCACTTAAAACTTCCGGAGGGGGCGCAAAATAATTTCCGGGGGGCGGGGGCGGACACTAGTTAAAATATACTTTTTATTTTATATACTCTCTTTTTCTATTTTGTCCCGGTGGCGGGGGAAGATTCGTACTCTCGGGGCAGTGCTACCTCCCTCCCACCCGCAGGGAAGCTTAAAAAAATAACTCTGGACACAACTAATCTCGGGCCGAGTTTAAAGAAAGAAGGATATATATATATATATATATATATATATATATATATATATATATATATATATATATATATATACGCGTGTATGTGTGTGTGTGAGAGAGAAAGAGAGAAAGAAACACGGCAACGGTAGTATATACTGAAGACTCAGCAAATGTAAGAGCAATTTCAGGCAACTTGGGCGCGACAACGCCAGGGGACTAAAGATTTAGCCAACTGGAACTGTACCAATGTGTTTTCATGAATATGTGCCATACACCACGGTACAGATCAGTGCCAAGTACATACAAGCTATGTTGTAGCACATACGTTGGTGAAAAAACCAGAAGAAAGCTGATTATAATATCAGTGGGGGAGAGGGGGTTACAATAAGAAAAGTTTGTAAGGGCTTCGAAAGCAGTGATTGACACTATGCAAACACTCATTGACGCTTAGATTTTTTATATAAAATAAATAAATAAGCAAAGCTTTATGCTGCGGACGCCATTTTCATCAACTCTATTCAAATGCATTTTGTATTTTCTAGGGTTATCGAGTGCACTTAAATTTCACTTGGGGTAGCGGGTTTTTTTTTTTTAAACTGCCATTCACTACCACCCATCGCGGGTGCCCCGTTTAACATCCACGCCTGCACAATCGAGCTTGGGAAAAAAAAGTGTTTCTGGCCAACATGAAGACTTTCACTTTAGCGGGAGTTCGTACCGAGCGTAATGCGGAATCCCATCCCCGCTCCCCCTCCTTGTCACCCCCCATTTTCCTTGGATCCCCGGAACCGAAAGGAACATTAAGCGCATTGTACCTCTGACACCTGTTATGTTTTTACGTCCCCCACCTCGAGAAAGCGGTAAATGATCGTTTTGGTTGTGGTCCCCCTCTTTTTTTTTTTTTGTGTGGCTCGCGGATTAGACGCGCATGAATTTATTGAAATATTCCACGCCTCGCTGGGCAAGCGACTTACACTACACCGTTTAGCCATAAATTGCCGAACTGTCAATGGGCAAATATCTCGGCGCGGGGAGTTTTCTTTTCAAACTCACTTAAGCAAATGGCCGACCCATCAATGACCCCTCACGCGAACAAGCCATTAATGTTATTTTAATAATTGTTTCCTTTCTGCCCAGGCGTCAGAGAACTAGTTTCGCGCTTGCTGAAGTACGGTGCCGCGCGACCCCCACCCCCTCCCACAACACCCCCTTAGTGTGTTGGCGCTAAAAGTCACCTAGTGCGAATTGATATATGCAGTAACGTTTGCCCCTACCCCTACTCGGATTCGACCCCCACCCGCACAAATTATTGACAAAATAGTTCATCGATTTTGGCATCAGCTCCTAAACTCTTATTGATTTTTTATTTTTGCATATTAAAAATATTTCTAGCTTATTTAATTTCTCATAATATATAATCCATAGCCCTTTTTTTTTCTTCTGGTAAAAGATTTGATGCGAAACCCTTAATCGCTTGCTACGCGTCGGTGCGACTTAGAGCAAGCCATTAGCATAAATCTTTCGGTAATTCCCAATGTGCGGCGAAAGATAAGCGTCGTGTTTGACGAGGCTGGAAAAGTTGAGGATTAAAACTCCCTGTATGTATTAAATCGGGAAGAAATCTTTGCAAAGCGGGCGACATTAATATTCAGTTTTTGCCGTTCAGATTTATTTGTATTTCATTTTTTAAAGTGAGTATATACGAGCATTTTTACTGGGAAGGGTAGGTGGGGGTGGGGGGTGGATTTATCCGTCAAAGCGATTACAGACAGCCGGTCCGGGTTGACGGATGACAGTATATTTTCCAGATGATGTTCAGATGATATCGATTTTAGAATTAGACGAAATTTTAATCTTCCCGCAGATTTTTTCAATCGTTTAGTCGATTTGTCAACGTTTTATATCCTTTTTTTTTGTTACCGGAAAATTATCGTTTCGTCAATCTGTTTTTTTCTTCTGCTTAAAGCAAAAAACCTTGGTAAAAGCACGATTTTCTATGAATGATTTAAGATGGATAAGGTATTGATAAAATGTAGCATGCAAACCATGTATATTGAACATATAAAGAGTGCTTATAGGTAAAACAATTTGGTTAGAATGACCACTATAACAGGAGATGATTTTTTTTATTTTAAATTCACTCTTGTGATTACTTACACACGTAAAAGAAACGCGTTCGCTCCTTTCTTAAAGAGTATACAAATTTTAAAAGGGATACTTAGTAGGAAAAATAATTGACTTACTACTAGGATTACAAAACGAGATGAAATACTGACAACTTAAAATACCAGGTACCGAAAAGGTGATCGCTGACACAAGGTAAACTGACTACTTACATGGTATAAAAATGGGTAAACGTTGAAAAAAAACAACTGACTACTTACATAGTGCCGAAATGGGGAAACGTTAAATTAGGAGGAAGAAGTCCACTCGACTGTTCGGCTAGTGACGTCATGGCTGAAATCTGAAATGAATAAGCCAAGGGTTAAATATGCTAATGAGTTGTGTCTTTCTGTAATGTTACACATCTGTGTCTTTCTCTTTTATGTTAAAAGCGTGTTGTGTCTCTCTGTTATGTCCATGAGTTGTGTATCTGACTGTAGTCATTTAGTGTTAAAAGATCTGTGTAGCTTATAGTAATGCAATTGAGTTGCGTCCCTTTGTATTATTGTTAAGTGTTGTGTTACGTTTAGTAATGTTAGTGAGCTATGCCACCTTTAATAATTATATTGAGTTATTTCCCTTTTAGAAAGAGTGAAATTGAAGTTTTTCTGTATTGGTATACTTTAAATAACAGGTGTATTGTTAAGCTTTATATTCGACCACAAACGAACAAACACAAAAAAAAAAGAAAAAAAAAAGAAAAACGTTTGAATAAAAAAAGTACAAACAAATGAATTTTACATATGGATGATATCGACTGCTATGTGACAATGATCTGTAAATCTAATTATGTAGACAGTATAATTAATAAATCCCACATACGTTTTTTTTTAAAAAAAGTTTTCACTGTCTTATAAAAATAAAAACCTTTTTTAATTTGGAAATAATTAATCAACAATGATAACCCAGGATGAAGGAAAAATATATGCAATAGGCCCGTTAGTAAAAATTGACAAAATAATGTAATACTTTGTGTAATTTATGTATCATTAAAAAAGGACGGAAATTACAGGTGATAATGTAAATAATTATAACATAAATCAATGGGGACAAAAAATAAATAGCTAACGACAAAATGTATTCGTTTATGACACTTATTTGTTAATAATAAGGGACAGAGCTTTGCAATGGGGACATAACTAAGGTTCTGAATTTAGAGGAGCAAAACTTAGATATAAGGGCACTTGATTTACCTGTTAATAACAATGACAGGGCTCAATTGCAAGGGGGCATAACAGATATTTAAAAGAACAAAACTTAGATATACAGGGATAACTCATCTGTTAACGACAAGGGATGGTGCTCAGTTCAAGGGGACTTAACTCAGATTTAAATTTAAAAAAAAAACAACTTACAAATTCAAGGGACATAACTTACTAATTAACGGGACAAAACTCATCTTTTAATGATAAGTGACGTTGCTTACTTCAAAGAGGCATAACTTAAATTTAAATAAACAATTTAGTTCAAGGGACACAACTTACCTGTGAATGATAAGGGAGATCACCAAACCCAGAACGAATGGAAGCGAGGGCTGGTACACCCCTGAGAGCGGGGTGGGCCTGGAGGCCGTGTGACGGGTGAGACTCGAGGTGACACAGACACACAGGCTGACCGGTGCTGGGGTCAGCTAAGAACGCCCGTCCGTTCTCACATAACTTGGCGTGCTGTAAAGATCAAATAGAAGCTCTGTTTTATTCTCTAACAACGTAATATACGTGGTTAATTATTCTGATTTTATGAATTATCCAATAAAAACATAAATATAAGAGATATTTTTCCAATTTATCCAATAACAACGTAATGTAAACGATCTTTCTTTCTAATTTATCCACTAACAAGGTAATGTAAGTGGTTATTTATTCTGATTTATCCAATAAAAACATAAATATAAGAGATATTTTTCCAATATATCCAATAACAACGTAATGTAAAAGATCTTTCTTTCTAATTTATCCACTAACAACGTGATATAAGGTGTTATTTATTCTAATTAAACTACTAAAAACATGAATATAAAAGATATTTTTTCCAATTTAAAAGGCTATGTTTTAGACGCTAGTATAGATTGTTTTATAAAGTAATGATTTGTTATAGACCTCTCATGATAAACGCGCGTTTTTTTTTTGTAGTATTAAATACATACATATGCATGATAAACTAGAATTTCAACCAAAACATCACAGTCGTACTTACTCGTTGTTCTACTAAATCTATTTATCTTAAAGCAACTAATATAAAACATATTTTTTTAGGTAATCCATCTTACATACGTACATATATTTTTTTAACCATTTGAGGCACCATTCAAATTAAGAAAAAATATTGCCGATTACAACAGTTGAGTTCACATTGAACAATAGCGTAGGCAGGGTTTGTTTGGAAAGGGGGGGGGGGGGGTGGGTAGAATAAATTCCTGCCAATGCCACCGACAATTAGTGCCAATTACTCTACCGCGAGGCTACATGATTTCACGTTCAATTAAAAAATGTTGTACAATGTGACTTTTGTCGTATACATTTTAAAATAATTAAACAAATAAAATAAAAACAACTAACCGTTCTCTCATCGGGACTTGTCCTCATGGAGAGCGCAGATCCCACACCTTGAAATGGTCGATACATGAATGGCTTCTGTAAAGACAATTAAAACATATTTAACAACATTCAATCTTTGTAATTACTTGAGTTATAGTTTAAAATCAATTATTCACCTACATTATATAATTAATTATTTGCGTTCAGTTCCTTTAATCAGTTTTGAATACCTCAATTAATGTTAGCCAATTAAATCCATAAATGTTTAGAACACAGAATAACATCAAAATAAATCACTTTTAGATTTCTTAAATTCCCTAATTAATTTTTATCATTTTAAATCTATGTATTTTTAGTACACAGAATATCGTCAAAATGAATCACTGTTACATTAATTAGATTTAAATACCTTGATTAATTTTAGCCATTTAAATCCATGTAAGTTTAGTACACAGAATAACATCAAAATGAATCATTTAAAAAAAAAAAACAATTTAAGTTGCCTAGCAGCGTATGGGTTGAATGGCCCGAGGTATGGGACACAAGGCCTGACACAAGCAAAACTATGTACAGGTGTATGAGTAAGTCACGGGAGAGAAACACACATCTACAACACGCAAACACAACTACGACACACGCCTATGATATATCCCAACGACGCACATCTACTACACACACTTACGACATCCACCCACAAATAGATATACCACAAACAAAACTAAAAACAAAATGACAACATCATCACGGCGACAGCAAACATCACAGCAACAACCAAATAAAAACACCCACAACACAACTACACACATCACTACAACAACCACACACAAACGCCCACACCACAACCACACACATCACTACAATAACCACACACAAACGCCCACATCACAACCACACACATTACTACAACAACCACATACAAACACCCACAACACAACCACACACATCACTACAACAACCAAACACAAACACACACACCACAACCACACACATTACTACAACAACCACACACAAACGCCCACAACATCACACCAGACAACCACATCTACACCATCCATACACCACGACATTCCCTATCTGAATCACACTGCAAGGAACCACGGCTCTAAGGCAGTGTTCAGCCTGTCCTACAGCGATGTTCAGACTGGCCATGCTAAAGCGATGTTCTGCCTCTGTGCTGGGACGTGACGAGGCATAAACTCCTGGTCGACGTGTCAACCGTTTTACACGAAATTAACATATTTTTTAACGCCCTTGTCACGTATACAATGTTTTTTTACACCGTGTTAAGAAGGTCATTAGGGACATTCAATCAAGGGAATGGCCGGTGAAGTGGGGGAGGGGGGGGGGTGTCGGATTACGAACTCAATACTCACTTGGACTAAACAAACTACAAAACTAAGCAATTAGTAACAACAACTCCTTCTTGTGTAAGAGTGTAAGAGAAAATCTATCCAACCATACAACATCTCGTGATTAAGCTATAAAACTCCAAAGCTATACTTGACCCTAACTCACTTCCACCCTATCCCTAACCCCATGCACATTTCCGTATATCTGATCCCTGAGCTGCATTTTTGGATTGAAATTTGATCCCAAATTTAAAATGTCTATCGTAAAATTATGCAAGGTGTTTAGTTTTTTTAAATTTGTATTTAAACCTCCTTCCCTCCTTCCCAATTCTTTACCCACCACACTTTAAACTCATACTTTGTTGTTGTAACAGAAATGTGAAACGATCTACCCCCCCCCCCCCCCAACTTACATCTGTAGTTGGCTGTCTTGCTCAAATGGTGATATCAAAACTTTCCTATCTATCCCCCCCCCCCCCAACTTACATCTGTAGTTGGCTGTTTTGCTCAAATCGTGATATCAAAACTTTCCTACCTACCTCCCCCCCCCTCCCCCCCCCCCCCCCCCCCACCAGCTTACATCTGTGGTTTGCCGTCTTGCTCAAATCGTGATATCGAAACCTGCCTGTACCCAAACAAGGGGCAGACAATTAAAACAAGCCTCCCTATGATTTATTACCTCCCCTCACGGCGGGTGGGCAATTAAAAGCCCGTAATGTTCGAGCTAATTTTTTATGTGTTTAGTCATGCAACGTTATCTGACTTACCACCTGTAAGTCATACGACATGATCTGACTTACCACGTGTAAGTCATACAACGTGACCTGATTTACCACCTGTAAGTCATATAACATGATCTGACTTACCACCTGTAAGTCATACGACATGATATGATATAACACAAGAAAGTCATACGACGTGATATGATATAAAACATGTCATACAACATGATCTGATTGATATGATCTTATCTAACTAATGCAACATGAACTAAAAATGCTAAAGTCTAGCGACGATTTAAAAAAAAAATCTTAAGTCATATGGACATGCGCGGTCATGCGAAGCTCATATTTTCAACAGAACTTCTTGCTCGTGTAATGTGGGAATTTGAAGTACAAAACTAATGAAAGGTGACAGGAAGTAGGGATGTTTAAGGAGAAGAAGCAAGGGTATTTAGGACCAGGACATCAGGACAAAGGTATTTAGGACCAGGACATCAGGGTAAAGATGTTAAGGTTCAGGACAAAGATATTTAGAGCATCAGGACTAATATGTTTAGGACATCAGAACTAATGTATTGAGGACCAGGATATCAGAACCAACATAAATGCGTGTTGATATCCTATTTCGACACTGTTATAGTTATAGGTTGCTCTATATACATATCATTTGCTGCTTAACATTTGCATACACGACACTGTCTTGTATAAGCAAGACAGTGTCTTATATAACATCTGCATACAAGAGACACTCTGGTATAATATCTGCCTAAACTACACTGTCTTGTATAATATCTTCTTATGAGACACTATAACATATAATATCAAGCTTCGATTAAAAAATTTAAAAAAAAAAGAACAGTTTAAGTATAAATGTTAGAATTTTTTTTTAAACTATCATTTATTTAAGATATTTCCGAATATGATACACACACAAGCCGTTTCAGTCATTTCTTTTCGTTAATTGTTCAAAATTGAAGGGACCCACATTACCGCAGCAATTTTAGAACCGCTGATTAAAACACATGTGGGGTTAAAGCCCATGGTGATGTGTTTAGAATCAATTACACGGACACGGGCTGGTTGACTGTGTAGACGTACACGCACAATTACACACACAAGCACAGGGACGTACTTACACCTGGGTTGACGAGGTTGCTTCATTGGAGACCCCGACCAACAAGGGGTCCCAAATAAAAAGTCGAACCCCGGCCAACAAAAGACCCCGACCTGGTGCCCTGTCAAAACGGCCCGGGACAAATCGGCCCCGTCAAAACGGCCCCGTTAATACGACCCCGTCAAATCGACTCCCGACAAACCGACCCCGTCAAAATAGCCCCGTCAAAAGGGCCCCGACTTATTGGCTCCCGTCAAATGGGCTCCCGTCATAATGACTTGCGACATATAGGCTCCCGACAAATGGGCTCCCGATATTTAGGCTCCCGACAAATGGACTCCCGACATATTAACCCCTGACAAATAGGCTCAGGACATATTGGCTCCCGACAAAGCGGCTCCCGACATATTGGCTCCCGACATAAGGGCTCAAGACAAATGGGCTCCCGGCAAATGGGCTCACGACATTTTGGCTACCGACAAATGGGCTCCCGACATATTGGCTCCCGGCAATTGGGCTCCCGACATATTGGCTTTTGACAAAATGACTCCCGACATATTGGCTCCAGAAAAATGAATGATATGACCACTATTGGCATAAAAGTAACCATTGTGTCCTACCTCCAATACCACCATAACCTCTTTTTAATGCCCGAATGAAATTATTTTTTCGTGAACCAACATTAATTCACAAACAAATCGAGCCCTTAACAGCTAAATTCTACCAATTCTAAAGTTTTGATATTGTTTAATTTACAACAGAAAAGATCTGTTGCTTAAAAGCGAGCACAGAAGTGTAAATGTATGATATACATGATGTTAACATGATAACAGCATTTTGTTTTGATAACCTACAAGCACAGTGGCGTAGCGAGGTCGGGTGTCACCCGGTGCGCCACTTAATGGTGTCACCCCCCCCCCCCAGAGGCGTTGCGACCCTTCCCGGGGACAAACTTTCAAGTTTTCGATTTGCACCCCCCCCCCCCCCAAACTTCCGATTTGCACCCCCACCCCCTCAACTTTTTCTCTATATATTTTGCTATTTTTTGCCTTTGTGTCACCCCCCTAAATGGTGTCACCCGGTGCGGTCCGCACCCCCCCCCCATCTACGCCCCTGTACAAGCATATTGCAGTTAGGAAGGTACAGCGTGGACCCTTCTCCCCACACAATGAGTTGGAACAGCCTATAACCGACTCAATTATGGATGTCATAGATAGATGACCCTTAAATTAAAACACACTATATTTTATAATAGATAAACTAATATAAAAATAAGGCCTGCCGAACAAGAGATGCGTACGTTGTATTACATAAGAGTGTTGGATAACCTAACTCTAAAGAATATTGATGAAGGGGTCCCACTGGCAGATGTCATATTCAATGAGACCGCTTTGCCGGGAGACTTAGTCTCTACAGAAACGGTATTGTCAGTGCAGTGGCGTAGCTAGGATTTTTGGGCCTCTATGCAAAATTATCAGTGGGCCCCTTCGTCAGCCGTTAGGCCAGTGGCGTCGCTAGGTCGGGTGTTACCCGGTGCGGCACTTCGTATTGTCACCCCCTCCCAGGAAACAAAGCATATATATATATATATATATATATATATATATATATGTGTGTGTGTGTGTGTGTGTGTCGGCCTACATAGGCCTAAAATTTATATATATGCCACATACTGGTACACGTACGTGTTTAAGCTTTAATCACTGTTGACTTCATAGTAACGATGTTTATCTACAGTCTGTTTATAATACAGTTGGATGTAGCATTGTTTTCTTTATAGTTTACGTTTACGTCGTGGTGTCACCCCCCCCCCCTCTTGATATAATTTTCGATTTGTACTTAGAAGACTATTTAACTTTAACTAATGGATCTGGAAAATGGCATTTCATTCTATAAATTTTACAATTTTTTGCCTTTAGTGTCACCCCCCCCCCCTAAATGGTGTCACCCGTTGCGGTCCGCACCCCCCGCCTCGCCTTCGCTACGCCTCTGCGTTAGGCTACAGAGGAGTTAAACGAAGAGATCAACTTCTACTTACGATGGATATTTTTTAATATATGAATATTCTGAAGGCAACATTTTGTATTTTATATGTCCTGATTGTGTATTTATACTATATTATTATGCTTGCCTACTACTGCTAAAAATTTTATTTATAGGCTGATTCTCTCAATGTCTTGCACGACAAAGTGATATAGCCTGTAGTGTTATTATAACGATTGGGCTCTGTTTGACCCACAAACACTGAATCCCACTGCCGAAACACCCCACCCCCCACTGGGGGGGGGGGCTTTTTGGAACTTTTAACCTTTTTCTTTTTTAAAATTATTTATATGTAACAAATATTAAGATTCCATTGTAAAAGTTTTAATTTTTTTTATGAGGGAAAAGGGCCCCTATGTGCCTTGGGCCCCCATGCCTTGCTTACGCTAGCTTTACGGTAGCTACGCCACTGTGTCAGTGGTCCTTTTGTCTGGAGCCAAATTGACAGGAGCCTTTTTGTCGGGAGCCAAAATGACGCTAGCCTATTTGTCGGGAGTCGTAATGACGGGGGCCGTTTTGTGGAGAAACTAAATGGCGGGAGCCTATTTGTCGGTAGTCGTAATGACGGGGGCCGTTTTGTGGAAAAAACTAAATGACGGGAGACTATATGTCGGGAGCCAAAATGACGGGAGCCTATTTGTCAGGAGCCTTATTGACTGGAGCCCTTTTGTCGGGAGCCTATATAACGGGAGCCTATTTGTCGGTAGCCTAAATGACGGGAGCCTATTTGTCGGGAGCCTATATGACGGGGTCCATATGTCGCTGGCCCTTTTGACGGGGCCGATTTGACGGGGTCGTTTTGACGGGGTCGTTTTGTCGGGGTCGTTTTGACGGGGCCGTTTCGTCATTGGCCGAATTGACGCCGCACGCCCCGACCTACAAGGG